GGCTGTGGGGAGGGCGGCCAGACACTGCGGGACAAGATGGGGCAGGACAGCATGGGGCAGGTTTCTCCCCAGGGCTGCAGCCAGGGCAGCTCTGCACCGGGAGCTGAAGGCTGGTGGGTACACGTGGGGTTGGGAGGGTAGCCTTGGTCTCAGGTGTAGGGAGGAGGTGGAGGGGGTCAGGGACACTTGAGGCTGGGGACTCCATGGTGGAGAGAGACGTTACAGACACCCTGGAGCAGGGTATTGGGTTGGGTGAAGCCCTGAGAAGGAAGAAGTGGCCATGGGGCTGGGGCTGGCACAAGGAGCCTGAGAAAATCAGAAATTTCTAGGCAAGAGCCCTAGGCTTGGTACTGTACGGGCAGGGAAAATGAGCCCAGGATGGGGAGCCAGTACGAGGCTGAGAACAACTGGTGTGCTGAGTGTGCCCAGGGCTGTCTGCTTGGGGCAAGGAGGGTCAGTGAGGTGCTGAACACATCGAGCTGTGTTAGAACTGCAGAGCTCGATTTCCTTCCTCCTCCTCTACCAGCAAATATCTCTGAAACCCATAGGAAGGTGCCTCATCCCTCACCAGTGCAGATGGGCAGAGAAGCTGAGTACTAGTGTTGCTGTTTCCTGTTACCCCTTGCTTGGGCAGCAGATGGTTCAGCGACCTTCTGATTTGTTTGGAGGTTGCACAATGCTTATGGTTTGCTTAGGAAATTGCAACCTTTTCACTGCATTAAAGAACATGGCTGCCTTTTGAATACTAAGCGAAAAATTATGAAGAACCGAAAGCTCTGTGCCACCCTAATTCAGGCACTTAATATTTGCATTTTAGTACAATTTTCAAAAATACAATTCCACACTAATTTTACCCTGGTCAGTGTTTTCTTCAGTGTCCAGAATGGAGATTCTGCAAATATTCATGCATTTTTGTCCTTTATGAGAATGTATATTCGTTCATGGAAAGGGAGAACACACAGAGTCAAATGTTTGGACAGCTTCTGCATTCAGAATCAAAAAGGAGCTTGGACCTTTTTGCACCTGTATATTTAATAAAATGTACTTATAATGAATCATGAACAGTAGTGTAACAGCATAAGCAATATATGAACTACCTTCCGCAAACACCAAGTCTTTGACCAGACACAAGATCTTGATATTATAAGAGTTCAGATAAAAAGCAAAAAGTCTTGGCTTTGTTTCATTGCTGTCATATATTTGTCTGAATTAATGGAAGGTTTAATGCACATTAAGTTGTTGCTAATGGCTCTGAGAATCTTCTGCAGGACTGGGCCCAAAGCCTAAGTCGCATTACGAAGTTGTGACTTGTTTGCTGATCAAAGGAAAATATATTTTGATTTTAAAATCCTCTATTTTGATGGCATGACAGAGAAAGAGTAAAAAACTTGCTGCTCCAGGCAGATTCTACAGTCATTTTCCTTTTAAATCCTGTGTATACAAATAGGCAATAATGCTACTGTCAAATATTTGACTTAATTCATCCAACCTAACAGTTAATAATCAGAGTTGTTAGAAAACTGCTTATGAGCTAGTCATTTTTATAGTCAATGAGGATGAACAGGCCCTTTTAGGGTGTGATTCACCTGACCTACTTTAGATGTCTGTTTTGGAATGAGATGAATCACCCTCAAAGTGCTGGATTCTCTCCATTTGTGTCTAGAAAGCTGAGGATGGCTAGCTGGGAGGTGGATGTCTGCATCCCTAGGGACACATCTCAGCTGTGTTATCTTTTTACTAGTTCATTTATTTTTACTCCATTGAGGCAGTTTGTTAACAGCCCACCTACACTCTCATTCAGCACTTAGGAAGAAGAGATTTCTACTTGCAAGGGAAAACTTAACAAAATCCTTCATGTCAGTAGGGGGTCTGTGCATAAGTATATGCTTATTGATTTAATACCATGAAATATTTCAAAAATGTTAATGGTAGCATAAATCTGAAACAATTCACTATAGTCAGGATTCAGTTGCAGGCTTTATTTGGGCTCACTGCAAATATTTCTGAGAGAGAAATTATGTATAATATTACAGTAACCTTTTCAGTAGACAGAGGCAGAGCCATACATTTAAGCATGTCAAATACTTAGTAAAGTCGATAGCCTGTTAATTCAGTTTGTGAGGCTTGGGCTTTCGTGGCCATTCATGAGCAGGGAAGTTGCAGACTTCTCCCAGTCCGCAGTTCACTGCAAATGTTTCCAGGTTCAGGCTTTCAGTACTGTGTGTCCTCTTCCTTGTGGGGTGCTTGCTGCTTTGTTCATAGATTATGAAGGTGGCTGGCTATTTTCTTTTTTGCAGGAATTAGTCTGATGTGTCACAGAGCTGGTGTCCTGCAGCTGAAGATTTGCCTTAAGTTTCTCCTGTAATGTTGCACTGCTGCTTTCTCCACTAAGGAAAATGGCTTCAGGCAGTCTTTTGTCTCATACGTGCACCAGATTCCCAGATCGGGTTAGCAAAATGTGCAGGAAAATGGCTTTCATTCTGAGTGTCTCTCATGTTGAAGTAAAATAGCAGCTGTGAAATGCCTTAAATAAAAACTCAGCAATTTTCTTCTTTTGTAATTTCAGTCACAGCTTTCTTATCTCAATTGCAGCCTTTTTTTTTCTGCTTTTCTTCAGAAGAGCCTTCCTGCTAGGTGTAGCATGCAAAGATGCAGTTACATCCCAGTGACCCCTTAAACTCCAGCTCTTGTAAGTGCTTTCTGCTGTGGCGACTGTAAGTTGTCCCATGGCTTAAGAAAGATTCAGAGGACTTAATATATCTAATTATGTTTAATAAATGTGAGGTTGTAGGTAAAATCACTCCAAAGTCTCTCAAAGTACAGAAGAAGTCTCTATTTCAGCAGGCAACTACACTGCATTAAACAAGCATTTAACTGCATTAAATACAGAGTAACAGACATGTCACCAGAACCATCACTCCTATCACAGTTAGAAATAAGTCTGGCAATGCAAAACACTCCAATACAATGAAAACCTGCAGTATTTATAAAGTCAGGCAAAGTGACTTATTTCCATCTCTTTTCTCTGTGAAATGACTATAATTTACTGTGTATACAGTGACTAAAATAATGAGGTTTCAACTGGGCTACTTTCCAAATGCTTTTGGAATAGTAATATTTAATAACAATCATATTTTAAAAAAAAAGATGATTTCAGTCTCTGATGAAATTAAGATTTTCTGTCAGTGTAGAAAATACAGTCAGACACCTGGAAATTTGAGTTCATCATTTTTGTATACTTCTTCTTCAAGAAGGAGCATAATTGGAAGTTGGCCAGCTGCTTTGCTAATGATTCAGAAGGAAAAGGAGAATGTTTCTTACACTGTAAAAACTTTGTATTGATTTGAAATAATAACAGAAATTACAAACTGACAATAGTGGATTTAAAGAACTCATTCTTACAGTTTTGTCCCTCAGCATAGACCTAGTCAGGATTTGCTTTATGGGGAAAGCTTAATTTGATTTCAATACAGCTCAGATGTAGCTATAAACAGCTTTAACTGTATTTAATTTTCAGAGTTCCTGCCTTCCTGAAATCCCATTCTAATACATCATCATCATTTCCTCTTTTCCAGGCTCTGTGAGGTTGATTTAAATCTGCTCTAAGGAAACCTCATATGTTCGTACTGCAATAATATCAGCAAAATCATAATGGAGTGGAGCAAATCTGGAGCAGCAATCAATCAGATTTGCTCTGTTTTCCCACATCTTGTCCTTCCCACTCCTGCATTTCTCTCCACTGTCTTTTGATGGGACTTACCCCACAGAGCTGCTGTCTTGCCAACAAGTTGCCAGTTCTTTAGTTCTTTGCCTAATTTAAAGTTGACGGGGAAACTGGATGTTCCAAATTATGGAAAAAAAGATTCACTAACTGAATGTTAGCATGAGGAGAGCAAAAGATGATACCGTAGCTCTGTGATCAGCCCTGTTAGCACAGGCTGCTAGAACCAATAGTAACTGTATTCTGAAGATCATTTTTCATCCAGAACATTTTCAGAAAGGAAAGTCATGTTGACATAGCTCTCCAGTTAAAAACAAGCAGAAGAATACCCTGCAATACCCCAGAACAGGAACCAGGACAGCACAGGAGCATAATGGCTTTCTGTCTTGCATGTTTTAATGCACAAAAAAACAGGACTTTAAAACCAGTCTTACTTTTTCTTTGAGTATCCTAAAGCATCTTCCAAAGGGTCTAGGTGATTGCACAGGAAAGAGCAATGGATACTTCATCTAAAAATGCATTCAACTTAGTCTTTTGCTTTTAATAAGATTAATGCTGTGGCCAATTAATTGACTTCTCTAAATATCACAGGCAAATGCTTGAAATCTCAATATCTGAATTGAGAAACACAGTGACAGAACTGGAAAAGAGACTTAACAGTGTTGAAGATGAAGGTAAGTGAATTGCAACACAGTCTTCCTAGTGGAAGAGGAGACACAGACAGTTAAATTCTTCAGGGTAAGCCCTACAGAGATACAAATTTTAATGTGGAAATTGAAAATTTGTCATATAAAACATGATTTTCATAAGTGTGTTATTGAAAATGTGAAATTAAAGAATACTAAATGCTACATGTTAGCTTTTTATTGTTAATTATTAATGCAATTCTATATAACATGCATTTATACACTGAGTTGGTTAAAATTCTGTATGCAGTAAACCTAGTGGAAAAAATTCCCTTGGTTTTCAAGCTGCTTTGTATACAAATTAATACTTTGTGTTTATGAGGATGGCTAACTGGAGAGTTACTTGGTGGCTAGAAGAAAGTGAGAAAAATTTGAAAAAATAGTAGCTTTTATTTGTAACACCATGAAATAACTGGGACTGGAAAAGAGGGCACCCCTGCATTTTTTTTTTTAAGGTAATGAATGGAAAACCAGATACGAGACACAAGTAGAATTGAATAGACAGCTAGAAAGACAAATTATTAAACTTCAAGACAAGATGGAGCTTTTTCGTGGAAATCCAACAGGTAAAAATGGGTATTCCTGGGTGTTATTTTATATAGAATTAGTGATTATGTGCTGGAATGATATAAATGCATTACATATTTTGTTTATTTATAGATAAATTGTCCTCTGTTCGTACCTTTGATCAAATGCCCCTGGTGAGTACAATGACATTTAGTTGCACAAGCATCAAAATCACAATGTAATGAAAGAATTCACATAATTAAATAATTAACTCAAAAAAAAATCAGTGATCCTAACTAGGAGCTTAAATGATTTTCATCATTTGAGATACATAATTTGTAAGGTATAAAAAATAAATCAATTTGACAATCACAGTAAAATCAATAAAT